GTAACTAGATGTCAGATCATAGAAGGTAGTAACTAGTTGATAGGGCATAGAAGGTAGTAACTAGTTGTTAGGTCATAGAAGGTAGTAACTAGTTGTCAGATCATAGAAGGTAGTAACTAGATGTCAGATCATAGAAGGTAGTAACTAGATGTCAGATCATAGAAGGTAGTAACTAGATGTCAGATCATAGAAGGTAGTAACTAGATGTCAGATCATAGAAGGTAGTAACTAGATGTCAGATCATAGAAGGTAGTAACTAGATGTCAGATCATAGAAGGTAGTAACTAGATGTCAGATCATAGAAGGTAGTAACTAGATGTCAGATCATAGAAGGTAGTAACTAGATGTCAGATCATAGAAGGTAGTAACTAGATGTCAGATCATAGAAGGTAGTAACTAGATGTCAGATCATAGAAGGTAGTAACTAGATGTCAGATCATAGAAGGTAGTAACTAGATGTCAGATCATAGAAGGTAGTAACTAGATGTCAGATCATAGAAGGTAGTAACTAGATGTCAGATCATAGAAGGTAGTAACTAGATGTCAGATCATAGAAGGTAGTAACTAGATGTCAGATCATAGAAGGTAGTAACTAGATGTCAGATCATAGAAGGTAGTAACTAGATGTCAGATCATAGAAGGTAGTAACTAGATGTCAGATCATAGAAGGTAGTAACTAGATGTCAGATCATAGAAGGTAGTAACTAGATGTCAGATCATAGAAGGTAGTAACTAGATGTCAGATCATAGAAGGTAGTAACTAGATGTCAGATCATAGAAGGTAGTAACTAGATGTCAGATCATAGAAGGTAGTAACTAGATGTCAGATCATAGAAGGTAGTAACTAGATGTCAGATCATAGAAGGTAGTAACTAGATGTCAGATCATAGAAGGTAGTAACTAGATGTCAGATCATAGAAGGTAGTAACTAGATGTCAGATCATAGAAGGTAGTAACTAGATGTCAGATCATAGAAGGTAGTAACTAGATGTCAGATCATAGAAGGTAGTAACTAGATGTCAGATCATAGAAGGTAGTAACTAGATGTCAGATCATAGAAGGTAGTAACTAGATGTCAGATCATAGAAGGTAGTAACTAGATGTCAGATCATAGAAGGTAGTAACTAGATGTCAGATCATAGAAGGTAGTAACTAGATGTCAGATCATAGAAGGTAGTAACTAGATGTCAGATCATAGAAGGTAGTAACTAGATGTCAGATCATAGAAGGTAGTAACTAGATGTCAGATCATAGAAGGTAGTAACTAGATGTCAGATCATAGAAGGTAGTAACTAGATGTCAGATCATAGAAGGTAGTAACTAGATGTCAGATCATAGAAGGTAGTAACTAGATGTCAGATCATAGAAGGTAGTAACTAGATGTCAGATCATAGAAGGTAGTAACTAGATGTCAGATCATAGAAGGTAGTAACTAGATGTCAGATCATAGAAGGTAGTAACTAGATGTCAGATCATAGAAGGTAGTAACTAGATGTCAGATCATAGAAGGTAGTAACTAGATGTCAGATCATAGAAGGTAGTAACTAGATGTCAGATCATAGAAGGTAGTAACTAGATGTCAGATCATAGAAGGTAGTAACTAGATGTCAGATCATAGAAGGTAGTAACTAGATGTCAGATCATAGAAGGTAGTAACTAGATGTCAGATCATAGAAGGTAGTAACTAGATGTCAGATCATAGAAGGTAGTAACTAGATGTCAGATCATAGAAGGTAGTAACTAGATGTCAGATCATAGAAGGTAGTAACTAGATGTCAGATCATAGAAGGTAGTAACTAGATGTCAGATCATAGAAGGTAGTAACTAGATGTCAGATCATAGAAGGTAGTAACTAGATGTCAGATCATAGAAGGTAGTAACTAGTTGTTAGATCATAGAAGGTAGTAACTAGATGTGTAACTAGATGTCAGATCATAGAAGGTAGTAACTAGATGTCAGATCATAGAAGGTAGTAACTAGATGTCAGATCATAGAAGGTAGTAACTAGATGTCAGATCATAGAAGGTAGTAACTAGATGTCAGATCATAGAAGGTAGTAACTAGATGTCAGATCATAGAAGGTAGTAACTAGATGTCAGATCATAGAAGGTAGTAACTAGATGTCAGATCATAGAAGGTAGTAACTAGATGTCAGATCATAGAAGGTAGTAACTAGATGTCAGATCATAGAAGGTAGTAACTAGATGTCAGATCATAGAAGGTAGTAACTAGATGTCAGATCATAGAAGGTAGTAACTAGATGTCAGATCATAGAAGGTAGTAACTAGATGTCAGATCATAGAAGGTAGTAACTAGATGTCAGATCATAGAAGGTAGTAACTAGATGTCAGATCATAGAAGGTAGTAACTAGATGTCAGATCATAGAAGGTAGTAACTAGATGTCAGATCATAGAAGGTAGTAACTAGATGTCAGATCATAGAAGGTAGTAACTAGATGTCAGATCATAGAAGGTAGTAACTAGATGTCAGATCATAGAAGGTAGTAACTAGATGTCAGATCATAGAAGGTAGTAACTAGATGTCAGATCATAGAAGGTAGTAACTAGATGTCAGATCATAGAAGGTAGTAACTAGATGTCAGATCATAGAAGGTAGTAACTAGATGTCAGATCATAGAAGGTAGTAACTAGATGTCAGATCATAGAAGGTAGTAACTAGATGTCAGATCATAGAAGGTAGTAACTAGATGTCAGATCATAGAAGGTAGTAACTAGATGTCAGATCATAGAAGGTAGTAACTAGATGTCAGATCATAGAAGGTAGTAACTAGATGTCAGATCATAGAAGGTAGTAACTAGATGTCAGATCATAGAAGGTAGTAACTAGATGTCAGATCATAGAAGGTAGTAACTAGATGTCAGATCATAGAAGGTAGTAACTAGATGTCAGATCATAGAAGGTAGTAACTAGATGTCAGATCATAGAAGGTAGTAACTAGATGTCAGATCATAGAAGGTAGTAACTAGATGTCAGATCATAGAAGGTAGTAACTAGATGTCAGATCATAGAAGGTAGTAACTAGATGTCAGATCATAGAAGGTAGTAACTAGATGTCAGATCATAGAAGGTAGTAACTAGATGTCAGATCATAGAAGGTAGTAACTAGATGTCAGATCATAGAAGGTAGTAACTAGATGTCAGATCATAGAAGGTAGTAACTAGATGTCAGATCATAGAAGGTAGTAACTAGATGTCAGATCATAGAAGGTAGTAACTAGATGTCAGATCATAGAAGGTAGTAACTAGATGTCAGATCATAGAAGGTAGTAACTAGATGTCAGATCATAGAAGGTAGTAACTAGATGTCAGATCATAGAAGGTAGTAACTAGTTGTTAGGTCATAGAAGGTAGTAACTAGATGTTAGATCATAGAAGGTAGTAACTAGATGTTAGATCATAGAAGGTAGTAACTAGTTGTCAGATCATAGAAGGTAGTAACTAGTTGTTAGGTCATAGAAGGTAGTAACTAGTTGTTAGATCATAGAAGGTAGTAACTAGTTGTCAGATCATAGAAGGTAGTAACTAGTTGTTAGGTCATAGAAGGTAGTAACTAGTTGTTAGATCATAGAAGGTAGTAACTAGTTGTCAGATCATAGAAGGTAGTAACTAGTTGTTAGGTCATAGAAGGTAGTAACTAGATGTTAGATCATAGAAGGTAGTAACTGTAGAACCCATTTAATTTTTGTATCTAAAACATGTTGATGGAGAAAGCATTGTTGCAGAAATAGACTTCCTGAATCATTGGTGACCACCTGCAGGTTGGCGATTTGGTTAGAGAATCTGCCTAGATTTTGTAGTTCTTGCATTTGAATGCTGATCAGATGGTCAGTGTAATTTTTCCCAGAGCTCTTTCAGTGGAGTAAGAGTCATCAATTAAATTAAAAAATATAAAACATACTTTTTGATTTCAGAAGCAGCAAAAAGCAGCATGGGTGACTGGTCGTTTGGCCCTGTCTCAACAATCCAGTCGGTTTGAACTACCTATGGACATGAGAGTCTTAGAAAGTAAGTAGGGTTCAGGGGAGACAACTTGTATAATATGGCATGCTTCATTATTTAAAATGCAAACACTCCACTGAACACTTGATACTTGAAATATTTGTATGATGTAACCTGTCTCTTCAATTGAGCAAAAAGGGAAAAGTAGTACTTAAAATGATTCCTGATTGCCAATAAAAAAAACAGAACATTAATTTTATATTTGTTTGATGTTATAAACTATACAACCTTATCTCCTGTCTACTTCTACATCCACTGATTTTTACAAACCTATATAAGCCACAACCCAAGTCCCAAACTACAAAACAGCATCGCTATTTCTGTGCCCTGTCTCAAAATATAAAACAGCATCGCTATTTCTGTGCCCTGTCTCAAAATCTAAAACAGCATCGCTATTTCTGGGCCCTGTTTCAAAATACAAAATAACAGGTGCATGCAATCCCAAAAAAGCAAAATAAGAAAATGTTTTCTCTTACCCTGAACAGGTGTATCCGCACTTTTACCGGTGTGAGATTTCCTTGTCTCACCCTAGGGTTGAGACGGGGAGATTCCCCTATTCATAACAACGGTATGACGTCACTTCAACAATGCAATGACGTCACTTCAACAATCCATCAACGTCACATCAACCCTGAATTTAGCATGTAACGTTATCATTACATTGTGTATATGATACACATTGAGAGAACAGGGAAAAAGAAAAAGAATCATTCACCACCCCCTTGTGGATGAGATAGGGGAATTTGAACCTTCAGGGAAAGATTCTTAAGTTGTCAAACACTCGGCAAAGCCTCGTGTCTGGCAACATAAGAATCTTGCCCCTCGGGTTGAGATTCCCCTTTCTCACCCCCAAGTGGGTGAGAGATTCTATTAATCTTTCACGCCTATGCTATAAAAATACAAAATGCTGTTATTTTGATTGCAATTGTCTTAAACTTGAAAATAACATATCCGTTTGATTTATTTTGTAGGTATGACAACTCAGGAATATATACGAGAATACTGTAAGATAACGAAGCGTAGACAGAAGTTGTATTCAGATGTGTTCCGGAAAAACGCCAAACAGAAGGAGAGAAATGTATATGTGATTCCCTTCAAGGTTAGTACTGTTGTAGACCTCCTATACAAGCTACATGTATACCCAAATCGGGACAGTTACCCAAAACGGGACACTTGTAGGGAAAACGGCCCAAGAAATTGTCATGCAATGCAAAGAAGTACTTTTATGTATACAGTTTTCATTTGATGATACTTTCATAACAATTTAACTGTACGTAAGCTTTATTGGCTGCTGATTATCGTTACATTGACAATTTAAAGGTACAAATAATTACCAAAACAGAACTTTCGTGAGTTACGTACTGTGCGACACTATTTATGTGGATATCATTTTCAAAAGTCTATTTTATCAAAACTTATGCTGGCTTGGGGAAAAAATTCAATCAGAACCCTCATTGACACTAAAATATTTCAACAATGCATATTTTTCTGCCGACATTGATCGTTTATCTCCGTATATTTGCCAAAATAATGAAGAGTCCCTTTCACGGTACAGTTACACGGTTCAAGGGCCTACATAACCCTGATAGTATATCGCGTTTTATTTATAGAACCATGCGCCTGAAATATCAACTTGTAATAGGTATGAAAAGTGGATAGTATCTACTTATGAAAAATGAACAAACATTTTTGGATAGTTTGTTCTTAAGAACATTGATATTTATCTAAAAAGTGTCCCGATTTGGGTACAGTGACATGAGTAATACTATAAACCACTGTAACTCTATAGATATCTGTTAAATAACAGCTAGGTATAGACAGGGGGACATGAAACAAGTACATATATTCATTAGGGCCCCGTATCGAAGATACGGGTGCCCTATAGTAATCACTCTGTCTGTCTGTCTGTCTGTCCGTCCACAAATTCTGTTCCTGGCTGATAACTTTGGTATCTATTGACCGATGTTCATGAAACTTGGTCAAGATGTACAGTTCACAAAAATACACATTGAGGTAAAAAAAATCAAGGTCAAAGGTCAAGGTTATTAGGTTCAAAGATCAAGGTCAAATTTTACATCTTTTCACTGATGAACATTTTGTTATGACATCATGAAGCAAAGTTGATCAGAATTAAACAAGGAGTCAACTGATCAAAGGTCGAGGTCATCGGGTCAAGGGTCAAGGTCAAATTTTATAGCTTTTCACTGGTGAACATTTCGCTATGACATTATGAAGCAAAGTTGTTCGGATTCAAACAAAGAGACACACTGAGGTAAAAGTCGAGGTCAAGGTCATTAGATTCAAAGGTCAAGGTCAAATTTGCATCTTTTCACTGATAAACATTTTGTTATGACATTATGAAGCAAAGTTGATCAGAATTAAACAAGGAGTCAACTGACCAAAGGTCAAGGTCATTGGGTCAAAGGTCAAGGTTAAATTTTGTACCTTTTCCCTGATGAACATTTTGTTATGACATTATGAAGCAATGTTGTTCAGAACTTAACACAGAGTCAACTGACCTTAGGTCCAGGTTACGGGGTCCAAAGGGTCAAGGTCAAGTTTTGTATTTTTCACTGATGAACATTTTGTTATGATATCAAGAAGCAAAGTTGGTCGGAATTAAAGAATAAGTCAACTGACCAAAGTTCAGGGTCACTAGGTTAATGGTCAAGGTCATTTGGGTCCAAAGGTCAAAGACAAAGTGGATCTCTGACTTTGACCCTGGCTCTTGATGTAGGAGGTATATAAGGTGAAATAAAACAAATCAAAGCTAACAAATGAGTATTGCACCGGTATTTACATTTCTGTTAGCCCAGCAAATATGGAGGTGGAAGGAAACAAGACTCACATCATAGTACATGTAAAATGTATATTTTGCTTCCTTGCGATTCTTTTTGAAGTCCAAATGTCAAACGTCAAGCTCAGCTATATGGGCAGATTGCTTCTTGATGATTATGGGGGATATATTGCCACAAGACGGGGCCCTTACTGACCTGTCAGTGTTCTAGTTGTTTTAAAAAATTAATGTCAAAATATTACTAGATTATTTCGAACATGCGTAGATAAAGGTGATCTACGTTAATAATTAAATATATCATACCAATTTTAATATATATTCCTTAAGAAATTGTTTGTTTGTTCGTATGAGTGGTTTTACATCCACTTCACTACCGGGTAGTTCGTACGGTTATCCAACAGCCTTCCTCGGGAAATGAGGTCACCAACTTATATGTATACCCTTACGATGAATTAGGAGATGGGAAGGGGGATTATTTTTCATGTTGGCATCCACATCAAGCATGATTTTATTTATTTTTTCTGGCACCGTCATTTGCTGATTAATTTCCTTAAAACATTGTACAGAGTTTAGATTGAAAAATTAAGTTTGTGTTTAAGTAATTACAGGCTTAATATCTAATATGTTCCCAATGATTTGCATGAAAAGTGAAACTTGATAATGTAGAAATCTATGAATAGTCTAATGAGTAAAACATAGACACCTCAACATAATGCTTTATGCTGTGTTGTTTACCCTACAGGACCTAAGGAAAGCCCTGATGGATGTCCTGGTCAACACTTTGACCGATGACCACTACTCCATGCTGGTGGAGCACATGGCCTTCGCCCAGGATGCTGAGATTGACCTGGTGTTATTTTCTGCATTGTCTGCATTAGCAGAACGTCTAATGTATCCACAGTTTGTGTACGTGTTTTGTCTTCTAAATTCTACCAAGACTTTGTGCATATAGGTGTTAATCTTTAAATAATTTGAAAAGTGATTTTCAATTTGTTAAAACAATCTCAGTTTTAGATATGACTGCTATATATTTTGTGTTTTATGAGTTTTTTGTTTTTTTGCAAATTAACTGTGCTAATCTGTCATGGCCCTATTTCCACTTCTTTTATAACAATGGAAAACTTACTTCCTGTTACAGGACCCAGGAGACTGTGGACATGCCAGACTACATGAAGGAGAAGATCGAGTGTGCAGACTTCGGAGCTCTTCGGTGGAAGATGCAGGGAGTGAATGTTAGCCCAGGTATAAAGAAACTACTGCTGCAGCTCAGCTGATAGCTGGTCATTCCTCGTCTCTGTTGCAATAGTACTGTCTGTATAGTGACTCTGTGTGTCCTCATCAGCAGAAATGCAGAGATGACTTAAAGAAGACTTTTACATCCGATGTCTACTGAATTCCGCGATGTTTACTGAACAAAGGTTGGTACTGTGGTTCAGCAAACAGACTTATACACAGCACAGGGAACTTTGCTTACTTCTTCCTGACTTTTAAGTCCTAAACATTGGAAGTCTTAGCAACAGTGGTAACATCTCAGACACTGTGTTAGACAGAAACACTGGACAGCAGAGTGGTACATCCCAGACACTGTGTTAGACAGAAACACTGGACAGCAGAGGGGTACATCCCAGACGCTGTGTTAGACAGAAACACTGGACATCTTAGTGTACATCCCGGACACTGTGTTAGACAGAAACACTGGACAGCAGAGGGGTACATCCCAGACACTGTGTTAGACAGACACACTGGACAGCAGAGTGGTGCATCCCAGACATTGTATTAGACAGAAACACTGGACAGCAGAGGGGTACATTCCAGACACCGTGTTAGACAGAAACACTGGACAGCAGAGGGGTACATCCCAGACACTGTGTTAGACAGAAACACTGGACATCTTAGTGTACATCCCGGACACTGTACTAGACAGAAACACTGGACATCTTAGCAACAGTGTGTGCTGTAATTCTTGAAACCGTGTTGGACATCCTTGTAGAGGTGCTGAACATCTATGTGACAGTGCTATAAGGCGATGACATTATCAATACAAGAGACTGACTTGATTATAAACTTGACCAAGGAACCTCGATGTACTCCAGCATTGGTGTATTTAAAGTTAAATTGAAAAACTACTGCAGATCTTATTTATATTCCAAGTAGAGTTGGATTAAATTCAACAGGAGATTTGATAGCACATTGTTATTGCATATTATTGTATCTGACTTCTGACAAAACAGATGCTGTAATATCTTGAATTGTGCTCTTGCAGTGACATGTCAACAGGGGCCTTTAGTACACTAATGTTGGTACATACAGGTCTGGCTGACAACACTACTACTACTGCAGAACTTACAACAATAGGATGCTGGATTACTGCCTTTCGTGAAAGATGCTGTATATTTCTATAAGTTGTAATATATAGAAACTTATTTCACTTCAGGTTGCAGATGATATAGATTATGATATAATCTACTGAACATGATGTCTGCCTTTGTTTATAACATTGTATTTAGTAATACCTGATGTCTTCTACATGAACGGTGAGATCAGGGATAGGAAACCATTAAATTATAAAATGTAAGGGAAACAGAGTTGTTTCCCCTTCTTTTATTAATTCTGTTGTTAAGAAAACGTTCTTATTTGCTTCATTAAATTGAATTGCTTCATTCTAATGTTAAGGAGACACAATTGTTTTCCTTTGATTGCAGCCTGTTAATTCTAATTATCTCACTTCGACTATTCCATATTTTATGTAAAGGATATAATGGTTGCCTTCCCTCAATTTACTACTGTGTAGAGGTGGCGAGGTTGACTCACTTTACTTATTACCTATTTAGTATTACAGGGGCACGTAACTCTCTCCCTTTGTGACATTGCCTTTAAAGGGGACTTCTAGTTGTCTCCCCTTGGTTGCTATAAAATGACATAATTATCTCCCCCTGGTTTTTATACAAGTGTGTTTGGTGTATAAGTGATGTAGTAAACCTTACCATTAATGTAGCTGTGTATGCATGGAGATGAAATGGATATAAGCCTTATCACAGAACATATGTTTACAAAATCGATTTGTTTGAAAATCCAATGGACAGATGGCGTAAATCAATATTAATGTACTTTATGGAAAACAAATAGACTTAGGGACTGATGTGAGTAAGGTAATTGATGTATTTATTGATTTGAGAAAGGTAGTCAATGTGTTGTTTTGTGTAATGTAGTTGATGTATAGTGTCAGTAAGGTTTGTGATGTATAGTAAGGTATGAACTAAACGACCAGGTTACTTGAGATACAAATCAACCTCATATTCTTTTTAACTATTTTTATCGATATTGATATATGCATCTTAAACATCATTTTAGGTTTTAAAGGACTACTTGCAATCTTACTTTATCATATTTCATACTACCTTGTACACTTGTTCAGGACATACATATCACATTTCGTATGCATGTACAAGTTCCTTTACCTATCTACATTTTTTGAATTTTATATTTCTATCATTACAAGCCGAACTGTGATACTGTAAACATGCTTTAACATCATCATACCTAAATCTCTTGAGATTAAATGCTTATTTATCATAATATCAACAAGTTTTATTAACTTTTGTTTCTCGATCTAGCATCTTTAGCTCACCTGGTCCGAAGCACCAAGGTGAGCTTATGCCATACCGTGGCGTCCGGCATCCATCGTCTGTATGTCAACAACTGCTTTAAACGACTTCTTCTTCTTAACCACCAATCAGAATTTAACTAAATTTGACAGGAAGCATACCTAGGTGGTGGGGATTCAAAATTGTACAAATGGTGGGGCTGACCCCCCAGGATGCTGAGGGGCGGGGCCAAAGGGGGAGAATTTGGCTATATTGCTAAACTACTTCTTCTGTAGAACTATGCACTGGATATCAATCATATTTGATCAAAAGCATTCATGAGAGACAGGGATTCAAAATTCTACAACTGGTGTGGCTGACCCCCCAGGGGGCTGAGGGGCGGGGCCAAAAGGGGTTATTAAGCTATATTCATTATTCATTATTGCTTTAAGTGACTTCTTCTCTGAAACTGAGTGATGGATATCAACCATATTTTACTGGAAGCATCCCTAGGTGGTGGTGATTCAAAATTGTACAAATGTTGTGGCTGACCCCCCAGGGTGCTGAGGGGTGGGGCCAAACAGGGGTTATTTGGCTATATTGCTACAAACAACTTCTTTTGTAGACGGATTCAAAATTGTACAACTGGTGGGGCTGACTCCCCAGGCTAAGGAGTGGGCCGTCAAAAAAAGTGTATTACTTGGAAATGGTTGAGATCCCCACTGTAAAACCATATATACAATTGCTGAATATAAAGAGAAGAATGCACATTTGCTTCCAGGATGGCCCTAGGGTCTAGCCCCACCCTTGGAGACTTAATCCCTGGGTCATAACTTTGAAATGGTTTAGATCCCCACCCCAAAACTATAAATACAAATGATGGGCAAAAAGAGACGAATGCAGTCATGCTATTAGAATTAATCCTGGGGTCTGGTCACAATCCTAGGGACCTAGTTTCTGAGTCACAGCTTGGAAACAGTTGAGATCCCCACCCCATAACCATACATAAAATTGCTGGGCATGAAAAATCTAATACAGATATGCTACATATTCACTTGGATCTCATTTGGATAATATTTTGCCATAATTGCTTAGATATCCAGGTGAGCGATACATGCCCTCTGGGCCTCTTGTTTATAAAATAATGTCGTTACCGTCAACAGGGCATGCAGTATCTACCTCCATTACCATTGTGAATAATTGCCAAACACTCTCAGGAGTAGATGAACAAGATTAAAGAATGCAATTGGTGCATGTCAGATTCTAATGATATGGGCCTCCGAGTTATGTCACAGTAAGCATTTTGAAACATTTCCTGAGTGTAAGAAGTGCCAAGCGGAAAGCCCCCTCCCCCATTATGTCTATACTTTTCACCCCTCCGAGAAGTTTCGTCCTTAGGTATAGTCTGGGAAATCCCATGCCTGTGTACCAATGCACCTTCCTTTGCCATCGAGGACTTGCATTGCAAGGTATCACAGATCGAATCCCACCGCTGCCACCAAATATAACGTGAAGAAGGTACTGATCCAGCCTGAGCGTCCTCGATGTTACTGAACTAAAACAAATCCCATTACTGCATCGCAGGAAAAGCTAGCTTGCAGTAAGGCAGCATTTTCCTCACAAATATTCCTCTGCTTCTACGCTGTTCCCGCCTCCAAGAAGTCTTGTCTGAAGACTTAGTCTGGGGAAACCAATGTATCTTCCTTGTATACTTGCCTTCCAGTTAAACCAGGAACCCACCGCTACCCCCAAATGTAACGTGCGAGCACTAATCCAGCAACTGAACGCCCTCGATGTTTCTCAAATCATGAGCTAGTCCCAGAGATATACCGTATCACGGGAAAGGCTAGCTTGCCATTAAAGGCAGTATTATTCCCCTTATATTCATTGTTTGCTATGTATATACCTAAGGAGCCTTTCTGCCATCCTGTTTCCTTACAAGAGTATAACAAGCTTAACAACACAACTCATTTTTATTTCAACAAATTCTAATAATTCTCATAATATAGCGGGTAACATAGCTTTGTGTTTGAAAACAATTGAATGTATAACCTAATACAATTTATTTAAGGATTGGAATACGTCTTTTGAACATTAATGAGTATATGCAAACAGTTTCGTAGTACTGATAAAACAACAGTATACATGTAAAATTTCATTCGTCTATAAGAATGGCAAGAAAATAATTAAATTTCAAGCTTCTTGACATATGATATCAGTTATTTCACGTGGTAATTACAGTTAAAACTGCTATACACATGGTAACAACAATCATAAATACTGTTATCATTGAAATGACAATCAAAATCACTGTACACATGGTAACGACTATCAAAATTACTGTACACATGGTAACGACTGTCAAAATCACTACACATGGTAACGACTATCAAAATCACTACACATGGTAACGACTATCAAAATCACTACACATGGTAACGACTATCAAAATCACTGTACACGTCACATGGTAACGACTGTCAAAATTACTGTACATGGTAACGACTATCAAAATCACTACACATGGTAACAAATATCAAAATCACTACACATGGTAACGACTATCAAAATCACTACACATGGTAACGACTATCAAAATCACTACACATGGTAACTACTATCAAAATCACTGTACACATGGTAACGACTATCAAAATCACAGTACACATGGTAACGACTGTCAAAATTACTGTACACATGGTAACGACTGTTAAAATTACTACACATGGTAACGACTATCAAAATCACTGCACATGGTAACGACTATCAAAATCACTACACATGGTAACGACTATCAAAATCACTGTACACATGGTAACGACTATCAAAATCACTGTACACATGGTAACGACTGTCAAAATTACTGTACACATGGTAACGACTGTCAAAATCACTACACATGGTAACGACTATCAAAATTACTGTACACATGGTAACGACTATCAAAATCACAGTACACATGGTAACGACTGTCAAAATTACTGTACACATGGTAACAGGTATCAAAATTACTCTACATAAGTAACAACTATTAAAATTACTGTACATATGGTCCAGGTATCAAAATCACTGTACATGGTAACAACTATTAAAATTACTGTATATATAGTAACAACTATTAAAGCACAGGAGCAGCAAGTGAAAAAGTTTTTTTTTCACATGGTAATGACAATGAAAATAGCTGTACACATGTTAACAAAAATTAGATAGAGTTCTTAGAACATGTTTATAGACAAAAATCATTTTTAACTACTCTTTTATTTTGAGCTGAGTAATTTTTTTAAATAGAAACATTTCAACATTTGTAAATGTGTTATAATCACTTTGCTTTGCTGAAATTGACGGGAGATATCTTGAGGTACAGAAAACCCCTACCGTTCGAAGCACCACTTATCGCCTGTCTGGTTCTAGCTGTGCGTTGATGCTGTGATATATTTCATCCTGTTTCACTGTTCACCTAACAATTACACAGGTTTTCCACAGAAAATGATTTTTTTATTCAAAATATATGATTTATTTAGTAAGTTGTCTTACTTTTATTTGTTTCCAAAATATGGATAAATTACTACCATGTTTGGAAAAAGATAAAGACATTGTCACAATAACGAAATGGAGACTTAATATATGACCATATAAGGACATTCACATTACAGTTCACGTGACAGCTCAGACATTACCATACGCTTATACATTTACGTACACCGACTCTGAAACATTAATCACCAGAGAATCTGACACATAATTTTAAATAATATGTATTTATAGATATCCTAACACATTTGAAAATATTCATGTATAAGAAAATATTTTAAATGAAAAAATAATTTAATCTTATCTTCGTTAAACAAATTAGAGACTAGCTGACCGGGATATTCACAACTACAGCCGATCGATACTTACACTCACTGACAATGGTTTCAATGGGGTTTTTTTACTCCCATATGTAACCTTTTATATATCTCGTACATCTCCTGCCGTCTCGCACCCCTCGTCATATCCTAAGGTGACAGCACCCAAATCGGATTACCGAACCGTCATTTTATTCATTTATTGAAAAGTCTGAGGATGAACTATATTCATTTACGGTTTTAACAAAGGAAGACTATCGATGGGTGTTCTTACAAAAAAAATAGCACCCAGGGTTCACGTGAGATATCATAGAACGCTCTGATGTCACCAATCAGCGGTTCCGGTATTTGCTAAAGTCAGGACCCAAATCAGATCAAGGCTTGAATTTTGCAGTATCTTGCACTTCAAATGAATACTTTTTTGTCAGCATATTAACATTTTATGATGACCTTTGGAATTTATATGAAAACAAGTATTTCTATAGGGTGAGTTAATTCCCATAGTCAAAAACAGAATGCATAGTCGTCGCACGCGCCATTTTTTAAACGTAAACAAAACACTGACTTTTGAGTTTGAATTCCGTTTTCTTGTGTTATTTGAACTTAAAAACGAATCATCTGTAAACAAAAAATTGTGCATGTCTATCTATTCTAAAGCTACATCATTGATATAACTGAACTGTTGACATATTAATTGATTTGGAAGTATTTTTGAAAACGTGATCCGATTTGGGTCCTGCCACTTCATTTAACGTTTTCATTACGTACATTCATACATCCGTCGACATAACCCGAAGTTCAATAGCATCGCGTAACTGTGTTGGCTGACATTTCCGTAAAAATGACAAAAAAGATCTTCGAAAATCATTATTCATCACAATATAGATGTACACATAAAAATAGTAACTTAAGAGAAGGAAGAAATGTGTGAAAATAATCTCGTCATCTCCGGAAGTGACGTCATCTTTTGTAAAAATGAAACGTTTGACCAGTATGACTGCTGATGGTATTTCAACAACAAGACACATTGTCATCATGACCAGTACGCTGCACTCTTTGAGAGTTTGGTTTCTCGCTAGGCGTCGCCCATTCCTACTGTTTCTCGACAAATTCTGGCGTCTTCTGTTATTTCGACAGATGGCGTACACTAACAACATGTACATCATAGTGAGTATGACACCCGGGAGGATGTGGACGCTCAAAGCTATGAACCAGGACCAGAATAAGATATAACCGTCCCTACCATCAGTAAAACGATACTCTGCTCTACACGGCAAAGTCTCCCCGATAGAGTAAGTGGTACCATTCAATACCAGGCTTTTATCCAAATCAATTAGTTCAAAGTCAAACAATTTGTAAATGTTAACCAGTACACAAGCACAGGTTATGATTTTTACCAGTTTTGTCATGTTTCTAATGTTATACCAGGAGACACAAGAAAACGGAAATCGGAACACTAGGAATCTCTGTATTGAAAGACCGACGAACTGCCACAGGGAGATGGTGTGAATGATATGCGGAAGTACGAAACCTAATATCCGGAATGCCCCACACCATGCTTTGGGTACATTGGCGGGAAACGTTTGCCCAGCAAAGAAGTAAAAATAAACCGGAAGCTGGACGACTCCGAAGAGAGAATTGCAGCAGGCGATGGCAGCATGCTGTATACGAGACGCCGACCCCTTTTTAGGTAGATCAGAGTAAACGGTGATGATCACCATGATATTATTCAGGATTGTAAGAATAACTATGATAGGTGCTACAACTCCGTAGAGATTCCTAGCTAACGCTGTGTTGAATGACGGAGGTACATCATATATCAACGGTGGTAATCCCATTTCATTCTCCTCCATTTTGAACAGCTAACGGCACTTTTCAAATCTTCCTCCGTTACTATGCTGCACTCAATATAGTATCACCGTCTGTCGTCGTTCTGGAATAAAAGTAGCATAAACATTTAAAAACATCAGCTTTGTTGAGGTTCACCTAGCCTTCTAATTGATGGTGTGGTCATCCTAAATATCAATCTTATATTCAGTCAAAACTAAGCATCCACTTTATTCATCATAATATATTTCTCAGTGTGTCTTATTCTTAGCATCTTGTGCTGTTAAGAATTATTTACATATGTTACGAACATTGTGAATAAAATGTTTTCTTCAATATATTGTATACCTAATTCTTTCATAACTTAATGTTACAAAGGACGCGTGATCTAAATTCATCGGTGATGGTGATAAAAGATGGCGTATTCTCGAATGTTTTTTTTCCATGTAGTCCTGGGGTCCAGCAAGGCGATAATTTTCCCCGTTTTCCTTTTCACTTTTTGTTAATGATTTAGAAGATTTTGTGAAATCACGTGACTGTAAAGGTATGTCGAAGATAAACGACCAGCTAGAGGAGGAACTACATGTATATATGAAGCTTTATGTTATGCTATACGCTGATGACACTATACTACTATCAGACAAGGCAGAGGATTTACAAAAGCAATTAGATCTATTTTTTTAATATTCCAACCTATGGCATTTTTAAGTCAATATCAGCAAAACTAAAATCACGGTATTTGGTAGAAAACAAATCTTGATGACCTTAATTTTACATACAACGGTACTGTTATAGGAATAGCTAAGGATTTCAAATATCTTATATCTTATTTTACTAAAACTGGTTTGACACAGTTTAATATTAAACAACTTAAAGGTGTAAAAGCAATGTATGGTGCTATTTCCAAATGAAGGGATCATAATTTGTCAATAGATTGTAAACTAGAGATATTTGACAAAACCATCTTACTGCATACTTCCCACCTCTCACAATGGAAAAGTGTGGGCAATAAATCACTTGCTACCATAGTCCACTGCACACATAATCCCCTTTCAAGGCCAATCATGATTACATGACCATGAAAGGGTGTGTGCCCAGTGGACTGTGGCCACAAATGCTGTAAGAAAGGGGAGATAATCAATCAGTGAGTAACGATGAAGTCAATACAGTAGAGGATAAACTTAGTTGACACATTTCAAATAAGGGGAAAAAATGAAAGTTAAAAATGGTAATTTCATGATTGAAAAACACAAACAGATTTCCTTATCACGTGAGAGGATAAGCATTTCCCGGAAAAGTTTATAATCTTAAGGAGCTGTTCCTTTATACAAAATTGCACATTCAAATATACCATTCATTGAAAGAACTGGAATTCCTTAGGGATTGATAAACCCTTACATTGTATATATGAAAATGGTTTCAATATCCTGTACCTTTGCCACATCTTGAAAATTAAACTGAAAATGTAGTCAGAAATTCAACATTGTTTCCCGTATTTTGAACAGACACTCCTTACCTTCCCTGACACTGGACCTGGATAGTAATCCAAAAACACTTGTATCCATTATGAAGGATACACTCAGACTGGGCTATTGAGAATCTTACCTGGTTATGATTAGTACTCACTCACATAGGTACATGTAAATTATCTGCAGTGTAGGGTAGGTAAAAAGATTGTCCAGGTGAACATTTTTTACTCAACTTTTCTGTTTTGTTCGAGTTGGGAAGCATGCAGTAAGCCAGTTATTGCATGATTTCTCGTCACTCGGGACTTATTACACCCTCGCTTCGCTCTGGTGTAATAAATCCCTTGTTACTCGAAAACCATGCAATAACCTTTACAAACCTATTGTTTTATATGGATGTGAAGTTTGGTGTTTCTGGGAGAAGAGTGCTCACAGACCAGGTCAGACGTGTTTGTATCAGCTCTGAGACTTTGTTGCTATATCCTTCTTGTGAAGTGATCAACACAGATGAACTCAACATATTTGTTTACATATTTTTAATAACTTTCTGCAATTTAGTGAGTTTTAGACAGTTTTAGTAAGGAACATAAACAACAATGGAAATTACCTGAGCAGCTGATTAGTACTCAAGGTACTTGGACTTACATACAGGCTAGGTATACATTTATGTTGAGTTACACTCAGAGACAATGAAATATTATAATATACTTTATTACTGAGTACCATATCATGATGTCGGAGGACCCACCAAAACCGGACACTGACAGTGTTAATACTCCACCAACGATAGAGAGCAATCTCAATCAACTTGTAGGTCTCATTGGAAAGATGGACTTGAGATTAGCTTGGATTGAAAAGCAAGTATCTAAATTTGACAATATTGAAAAATGTTTAAACAGTCTGACAGGGAGAGTTCGAGTACTGGAAATCAACATGAGGGAGACTAAAATAATAATATTGAATTTGAAGAATAAATATATTTTACGAACAATTGAAAGACAAGTCTGAAAAAAACGCTACAGGTGTTAAGCTATTAAAGAAACAGCTAGTAACATGTGACGAGAATGCTAAGTGTTCAGAGATAGTGTTAATGAAGGCACTAGAGACCCAGGAGGAACTGAGGGAAAGACGAGAAGACCTGCAGTGTAGGTCTATGAAACGAAACCTAATTTTCCATTGCCTAGCAGAGACATATAGGAAAGACATAGAGGAAAAACTGATAGAGTTTCTTCAAAATGAATTGAAAATAAGCAAGTTTGTGGACCTGGCTAATGTACACAGATTTGGAAAAAGGTTCACAGGAAAACCTAGGCCAATTGTGGCAGTGTTTGTGTACGATAAGGACCTAGAACTGGTCAGAGATAAGGCGGGGTTGCTGCGAGTGTCACTTTTTGGAATACATGAGCAACTTCCAAATGAGGTTGAGATTAGGAGGAAACGCCTGTACCCAGTGGCAAAACATTACAAGAAGGCGGACATAAAGTGAAGTTGGTCAGAGACCGACTATTCATAGATGGAGAATTGTACATCGAGCGAGCTGGACATAATACGAAACAGCGAATGACATTCAGTGAGGTGGTCCAGACTTCTACCTAGTAAACGTGGCTGGAAAAGGACACGTAACCTGTCCACACCCTCGGGCCACATCTCTACTCCATCAGCAACCAGGCAGCGTCGAGGTGATTCATACGGTAACCATGTATACAGTGCCTATCCCAGTACTCCTGGCCATCCAGTTGTGGAACGGGGGGCGGTAGGTGGTGCCGTTTGTTGGAGAGGACAGCAAGGTTGTGAGTATTCACTCCCTAACACTTGTGCTGTGACAGAAGGAAGGAACAATGGCTATTCATGTGTGCCCCTAGTGTCACGTTCGTATGAATGTGTGTATTTGTTTTTATATATGTTTGTGCTATGTTTGTTCGTTGTTCCTTCTGAGCGACCGTAGTTTTGGAGAGTAACCGGAAATGGGTAAGTCCAAGCGGGACGCTTTGAAACTCCAGCAAGTTCGCTGAGTTTGTTTACCCGATTCTACTGCAAATGCAGTATTGAAACATGTACAGGCACAGATAACAGACTGTGGTGAGTATTTCTTTACTATATCTCTGTTTCTTTGTCTGATGTTTTAGCCCATTTCTGGATAAATATCCTAAGTAAACAGATGTTCGCTCGTGCGGTTCAGTCATGCGTTTCATGGTGACATTATGTATAATGATTTGTTAGGAAGGTTTTGCAAATATTATTGCTATTGGTTGCTGTAACTATCTATATTGATATCTGTTTTATATGCAATTCCACGTAGTATAACGTATATTTATGTTATGTATATATAGTAAAGCGCGATCAGGTGAGTGCATATGCGTGTATGGAAAAGTATGGAAGACATGAGTGGCCATATAGAACTTCAAGTGTTGTATAAATTATGTTATTTGTTGTATGCTGAACCCGCACGATATCAGAGCGTAACTTATTGTTTTCTAGCTTATATTTTCATAATATTTTGTAGAGGTTTAATTGTTATCTGGTGTAAAATTAATAGGGCATAAACTTAAGTATATTACTATTAGTAATTGTTTGGAATCGTATGTGATATGTTTGCGAGTTGTACTTAGGTGTTTTTGTTATTATGTTTAAAGCTTCATGTGAGGGTTCGATGCCTACCAGCTGAGCTCTGTCGGGGCCTGTTAGAGACACCAGTGATAAGCGCCAGGACCGACGTCAGTCAAGGTCAGCCTTTTGGTGATCTGAACACGAGAACAGACCAAGAGTAATTAGTTTGGTGGTGAAAGAAGGGGAACTCAACCGTGGTCATCAGCCGACACTACAACAATGACTGTTGCCGGAGGCCGCACTGGAAATGTATTTCCACCTTCCAGTTACCAGGAGTGTGGTAACTATATGTACATATTGGTACTATACACCAATCTAGTGTCCTGTGTGGAACTTGTCCTTTGTGGAACTTGGTGTCCTGTGTGGACATTGATCAGAGTCATCTGATTGCTAAGTTTTAGCAGAACATATTGTTATTGGAGCCGAGGAGACTTACAATAGAGTCCAGGAGAACTGTAACTACCTCAGGGTGCAGCAGAGACTTTTTGTGTAGTTTATAGGATCATTATGTGTGAAACTGTGTGGATGTGAGTGTGATTTGTTTATGTTGTAAATAAATTGTAAATATGTATTCGAAATCTTGTTTTCATTTGCCGTGTAACTACTCGACGCTCATCCTACGTTACAAAATTGGTGGCAGCGGTGGGATGACTTCCGTGTTGTTATTCGGGATTTGAATCCAGGTTTTTGTACTTCTTGTATGTTAGGTTATTTACTAGATATTTGTTCTTGTTTTGGGCAATACTGAAGACTGCTATTTCCTTTTTCAAAACATGTCCTTTGTTGACTTCATGGAAGCTTCGGTGGATTAACCGTCTGGGTAAGTATCAGGAAAAAAAGAAACGAGAAGAGCAGAAGCACGCGGGTAGTCTTTAAGGTTGGTAAGTATATGTCCATGTTTTTTGTTGTATTGTATTGTCAGTAGTCCTTTACATTGTTGTTGTACCTGTAGCTACCAACATGTCGTCACTACAAGATCTTATAGCTCGTGGGAGGGAAATGAAGTATGAGGGAGAAGCTTTACAGAAGTTCG